TATTATTATTATTATTATTATTATTATTATTATTATTATTATTATTAGTCATATAGTCAGCCAGATGTTCAGACTGGAGTTGGCATTTTTATCCAAAGGACCTGGAATTGGCAGATATGGATGTTCGATGATATTAAAAGTATTGTCTCAGGTTGTTAGCTGTTTAGAGTAAAGCCACCTTTTGCAATTGACTGGTGTTGTTTTTGTCAATGCCAGTGATGTTGAAGTGGTGCTCCAGTTGTTTTAGGATTGCACCCAAGATGCTTATTGCTGTTGTTTGCAACAGAAAACCTTTGCTTTCTATTGCCACAGATTTTCTATTTCTATTTGCAGGCCCCAAAGGTGCTTTTAGAAGAGGCAACTGGAGTTTCTTGTTTTTCTTAGAAGACATTTTGCTTTTCATCCAAAAAGCTTCCTCAGATCTGATTGGTTGGTGGGAAAGGGAAGGATTCATACTCCTTGCAGACAACTGGTCATTTGTATTCTTTTAGAGATTGTTAAATCTGAGGGGTTATGTGGCAGATACCTGTCAGTTTGAATTCTAAAGTCCCAGATCACTTTATCTTATTTATTTTCTATATTTTATGGTCTCACCAATTCTTGTTTGCAGGCAAATGGGATTTCTTGCATTGTTGCCATTTAATTGTGCTGTTGTTTGTGGCCAGTCTGTGCAATCCTTTTGCAGTAGCTAACCAGATGTTGCACTGTTTCTTTAGCATCTTTGCAGAGGCAGCACTTGCTGTTTGTCACTGTCTTCTCAATTTTTATTTATTCTCGGGCAGCCAGAATTGGCACATCTGTCTCTTTCTACAATGCTGTTAGCCATTGCTGGACCTTGGTATTTTCTGCTTTGTCTGTTTTTTTTAAATTTACTTGCCAAATAATACGTTGTCTTCCCTTTCTGTTCTCCCTTTGTCTATTTTCTGTTCTCTGTATGGTCTTTCATGTAGGCCAGTTTGGTTTTTTCAGTACTCAGTAAACCTTCCTGGTATACTACCGTGTTTCTCATATAATAAGGCCGGGTCTTATGTTTTTTTGAGCCCCGAAAAAATGGCTAGGCTGTCTTTTCGGGAGTGACTTAATTCTCCCCCCCTTGCATCTTTGGGCGGGCGGGCAGCGATGGCTTGGATGTTGACCTCGGCGTTGGTGGGGCACTTCGTATCGGGGTCAACGCAGGCAGCACCATATCCGGGTGTGCAACAAAAGTACTTCCTAATGGCAAGCCCCCCCACCATTCCCCCCCATTTTGCATGTTTTAATATAGGCCTTAATTTGGGGGGAGGGGCTTAATTTCATTTCATGCCTATAAAACATGCTGGGACTTCCTATTGGGGGAGGCCGTATTGTTGGAGAAACAGGGTAGCTTCAGTGCATTGCCTTCAGTATCCATTTTTGCAATGCCCTTTTTACTTTTTGAAGTATCTGATATACTTGCAACATTTGCTCACCTATTTTCCTTGGTAAATAGAGTCTGTCAACATTACTACGTAGATGAAGGGTATGATTCATTGTCATTATTTTTCTGGTTTTCCTATCCAGCGCTTTTAGTTCTGCTTTCTATTCTAAGAGTGTATCTTATGATGAGAATTGCCCAAGTGTTAATTGCCTTGATCATATTTCCTCCACTGAGTTTGAGCTTTTAGATCCTCTTTACTCTCTTGATGATACATTCACTTCTAACCTATTCTTGACTTTTGTATGGTTGATGTTGTCAGCTTAAAGGATGCATAGGCATTTGTAGTGATCTTCTTCATCCAGACTCTCAATGTTATTTCCAAAGGGCATTTTGATTCCTACAGTTTTCACTGTTTTTCTTGTTTGATAGTGACACATTTGTCCAGCCCAAACTTCATTTATGATATGTTGGCTGTATATATGACAGAGTAGAGAAGCTATTTATTTTTTTAAACATTTTTATTTTATTGTCCTCAAAGGGACATGCAGCTTAGCATAATATGACAGCATTTCATATTTAAGCAGATACATACAGGCTTAAGAATGCTTTCTCATTGGTTGGCTTATATATTCACATTTGATTTTATAAAAGAGTACATTAATTTATATACAAGAGATGCCTTTTGGATTCTTTTAAATACTATCAAGTCAGCACAGGGCCTGTGATGATGAAGCTAAAATGATCAGTAGACATGTGTCTTGAAGATGTACAAATTTAGTGATAGCATATGGACAGAAAATGTATTTCCCTATGAAAGCTAAAGTCCCATTTCCCCTCAAATGTCTTTGGGCTCTATTCAGTGTGGCATTTACCTGCATTGTTACTTTGGAATCAGGATATATGTGATCAGCTTGATGCCTGTTAATATCTGGGTTGTGTTAAGCCTTTTAAAGTGGAAATGGTGCTACTTATTTCCAAAACCTTAGTAAAATTACTGGATGAGAGTGATGATAAATAGCAATCCCCCAAAAGCTGTTTCAAGAGGCAATTGGACTTTCAGGTTTGTCTTTGAAAATGTTTCACTTCTCATCCAAGAAGCTTTTTTAACTGAATAAGAGAGCTGAAGAAGCTTCTTGGATGAGAAGCAAAACGTTTTCAAAGAAAAACCAGAAAGTTCAATTGCCTCTTCAAAAAAGCACCTTTAGGACAATCATGACCTGGATGACTGAGAATCTCCATAGATAAATAGCAATGTTATTAAGTACTAAACTGGATAGTGGCATCATATCTCTTTCTCTTTATTCTTGCTACTGCTTACCCAATATCCAGGAAAAAGGTGTTTTGTGAATTTGGACTCTTTTGAAGAGGGGGCTAATTTTTAAGTAATGGAGTAAAAAGATACTTTATGGCCATTTTTCTCTTGTCTTTCTTCAAGCGGAATATTTCAAGACATTGTATTGGATTTGTTGTGAGATCTCCAAAGAGTATTTTCCAGGCAAGTGACTATTTACTACTCACTCAAAAAGCCTACACCTGAAAATGATTGAATAATCTTGTTATGATTGTTCTAATCTCTCAGGAAACTGGGTTATGGTTAAGCGATCCTATCTATCAGCCTTTCCACTCTCATTACCTCACCCCATCTACTTATTCTATGTGAGGTACAAAAACTATCCTATGTACAGTATCAATCTCTTCAGTTGTTTATCCTTATTCATCTGCTGCTCGATTTAGCTAGAATTTTATTATAGCAAGTTGTATGAAGAAGGGAAAAATTACCACAGTTAGGACAATAAGGAGGTACACAATTTCCTTTTTCTATTCTTCAATCAAATTGTAATTTAACAATTCTAATGTGTGTAATTATGCCATTATTAAAGGCTAGCTCTTGTGGTCTGAATTGTAATAATCAAGTGTTAATTACAGGATTTGATAGGGTGATTCTCTACAACCAGGTCTATATGATATATAAAGCCCAAAATGTACTATGAAGCAAGACAACAATGACTAAGAATTTGGTGAATTGAAAGACTAGACTAAAGAAAAGATCTAATGGTTGGTTGATATCACCCTGTTTTTAAAATGTCATTGTCACTCTTCTGAACCATTGAAATGGGGCATGTTATGTCTGAAAGTGTCTCTTTAAATGTATCATTTAGCCTTATTTCAGAAATTTCATATATGAAATTAATTTATTCATTTTGAAAATAAGAGGCTAGGATTTCATTTGTTTGGAAATATTTCCAGTTACATTCTCTTTTGTCTCTTAAGGTAATAGTGTCTTGTGATATTTACCTGTGAAATACTGATGGTCACAAAAGAATTTGTCAAATTGTAATTCCTTGTTTGAATAGTTTATATTCAGATACTGGTGGCAATCTATCTTGGATTATCTAGATTTCCATCCATCACTGTTTTTCCTAAGAAAACCCAGTGGTCCATTTCATCTCAATATATAATTTAAGTTACAATTTGATGATAATTTCCCAGAATGGCTCAGAATATAGTGTATCCCACTGGCTCAAACTAATTTTATGCAACTGTAAATTAGAAAGTGATGAGAATAAATGCAACTTTCAGTATTGCTGTTTGAATAGTAAATGCTTGGCCAATAAAGCTTGCTTACAATGTTTGCCCAAGATAGTTTTTTTTTTTTAGTTAAGCAATAGAGGCATAGTTCAACTTGTAAACAGGGATGGAACAGAACTTGCTTACTGTTTGCAGTTTACACAGTTAGCAATTATTTATAACATAGAGATAAGTTACTCTGACCTAAGCAGGGGTGGGATTCTACTGGTTCTGTCCACTTCTGTAAAACCAGTTGCTCTGAAAAGCAGCAAACAGAGAGCATACATAGAACCAGTTCTATGTCTGCTGCTGTTTTGGCCCACCTGCCCACCTGGGCTCTTACCTGACCTTTATTTCCTGCTTTTTCAACCGCAGCTGCTTTGCGTGACACAGCTGTGGTTGAAAAAGCAGGAAAAAAGGGCTTTTCCAACTGCTGCGCACCCGCACGCAGTGCTACTCAGCTGTCTGGGCAGCTCAGCAGGTCGTAAATTGCACTTGCGCAACTTGTGTGACTCACTGCATGCGCGCACGATACAGAGCAACAGAACTGGTAGTTATACTGGTCGGATCTCATCCCTGGACCGAAGGTATAACATTGTAAGCAATCAGGTTTTGTGTAACAAGATTTACCTTATGTATAAAACCAGTAGTCACAATGAAAATTTCCTAACCAAATTGATTTAATGTTATGTGCAGATGGATAATGCTCAATTTCTTTCTGTTTTTCAGAAATGTGCCACTTGCCATTTGCTCATCAATGGTTATTGTCACACTTGGCTATGTTTTAACTAATGTGGCCTATTTTACAACTCTCAGCCCTGAGGATATGCTAAGCTCCAAGGCAGTGGCAGTGGTAAGTTGTGGTAAAAATGGATATAGGAAATTAGAGAAGATTAATATTATATTGAAAATAAATCATTTGAAGAACTTAATTTATAGGATAATGTATGTATGTATGTATGTATGTATGTATGTATGTATGTATGTATG